AGCACTAGAGAGGCTAAGACAAAAAGATCACTCTGAATTCATGGCATTCTGGCCTGCCTAGTGAGCTCAAGGCCACCTCTAAAAACCCATCAAATAAAAAACAAAGCCTGGCATGGTCAGGAGGCTAAGGCAGGAGGATCATTGCAAGTTCAAAACCAACCTGGGCTACAAAGTGAGCTCAAGTCCAGTCTGAATTGTGTAGTGAGACTCTGTCTCAAAAAGACAAAATACAGGGCTAGGGTTGTAGCTCAGCAGCATAAGTGCCTGCCTGGCAAGCACAAAGTTCTGAGTTCAGTCCCCACTACTACCAAAAAAAAAAAGTATGAAAAGCTTTCAAAGTGGGATTTGTAGGCTGGCAAGATAGCTCAGTAGACTAAGTGCCAGCTTAGGCAAGCACAGGGAGCGGGGCACCACATGCCACACCTGCCTGGCCCCAGGGTGCACTGTGCTGGTCACTGAGACTGGGTGTGGTGGCACATGCCTGTAATCCCAGGGCTGGGATGGCTGAAAACAGGAGGATCACTACGAGTGCGAGCTGTGTAGTGAGGCCCTGTACCAAATACATAAATTTAAAAAGAAAAAAAAGTGAGGTTTGCTTAAATATGTTTTGAAACAAGGGCCAGCCAAGTAGCTCAGCAAATTAAAGTGCCTACTTAAGACAGACACAGGACTGGGAGTTGGATACTCGGGCCTGCCATGCCAGCCCCACCCCTGGGGCACACTGAAAACAGTAGCTGAGACTGGGCGTGGTGGTGCAAGCCTGTAATCACAGCACTTGGGAGGCTGTAAACAGGAGGATCACTATGAGTCTGATCTACGCAGTGAGACCCTATACACTCTGTACACCCTGTCTTAAATACTATATATTGAAACAAGTAGAGGAGTATTTTGATCAAATATGTATGGTAAACACATTCTATTACCAGTTACCAAGAGATGGTCTTTTTAAAAAAAATTTTATTTATTTATTGGTACAGGGTCTCACTATACAGTTTGGACTTGTAGTGATACTCCTATCTCAGCCTCCCTAGTGCTGAGATTACAGGCATGTGTCATTATGCCCAGTTTTGGTGGCCAACACAGTGTGCCAGGACTTCTGGAGTTCCAGGGGCTGCATGGCATGCAGTACCAGGGATTGAACCGAGGTCCTTGTGCTTGTCAGGCAGGCGCTTAGACCACCAAGACCTCCCCAGCCCCAAGATTTTTTTGAAATTCAGAAGAATAATTTTGGTTATAGTTTGTCAGATACCTCAGAGTGAAGAGTATTTTACAAGCCATCTCCATTTATTTTTTAAATTTTTTTTATTTATTTATTTTTGCAGAACCGGGGATTGAACTCAGGCCCTTGCGCTTTCCAGGCAAACACTTATTCTACTGAGCCATCTGCCTAGCTCCCATCTCCATTTATTTTTAACTCTAGGTAGATTGCTTCTGTGATGTGGTAGTGTTTAAACAGAGTAAAAATGAGGGTAGAAAATATACAAAAGCCCTGTTTCTAAGCATTTCGAATCATCAAGGTGTGGTTTTATTTTGTTTTTTGGGGGGTTTTTTGGTACTGGAGATCGAACTCGGGACCTTGCACGTGCTAGCCAGGCGCTTAAGCTGCTGAGCTATATATCTCTGGCTCTCAGGTGTGGTTTTGATGACCATATTCAAATTTTCCCTGTGCTTTTTTTTTTTTAATGGCAGTTCCAGGGATCGATCTCGGGACCTTGCACTTGCCAGGCAGGGGCTTACACCACTGAGCTATATCCCCCCTCCCCTCCTCCCTTTTTTTGAGACAGGATCTCACTATGCAGGTCAGGCTGGCCTTGAGCTCACTGTGTAGCCCAGGCTGGTCTTGAAATTATCCTCCTGTTTCAGTCTCCTAAGTGCTGGAATTATAGGTGTGCGCCACCCCCATGCTGTTTTTATCACAGTAGCTTTATAGTATAATTAATTAATTTATTCCTTCTTTCCTTTTTTGCAGTACCGGGCATCAAACCCGGAGCCTTGCATTTGCCAGGCAGGCACTTATGCTGCTGGCCCTATGGTATAATTTCAAGTCAGGAATTCTGATGCTGCAACCTTGCCTTTGTTGCCCAGAATTGCTTTTGCTATTCTAGGTCTCTTCTGTTTGGCTTTTTATTTATTTAGTTTTTTTTTTTTTTTTAGAACAGCTAATTCAGGGCTAACCAGATAGCTCAGCAGACTAAAGTGCCTGTTTAGGCAGAGCGGAACAGGCCAGGGTTTGAGACCCTGTAGACCCTGTCCTAAATAAAAAAAAAAAAAAAAAAAATTAGCTAATTTAGGGCCTGGGGAAATAGCCCCACAGTATGCTCCTGCCTGGCAAGTGCAAGGACCTAGGTTCAATACCTCATATTGCATGTTGTGCCGGCCTCAGAACCCCAGGCACATGGTGCCAGCCACTGAAATCAGGCATGGTGGTGCACACCTGTAATCCTGGCTCTGGAGAGTCTGAGACAGGAGGATCACTGCAAGTCTGAGCTGCATAGCAAGACCCTGTACCTAATGAATGAATGAATGGTTTGTTTGGTTTTTTTTTTTTTTTTTTTTTTTTTTTTTTTAGCAGAACCAGGGATTGAACTCAGGCCCTTGAGGTTGCCAGGGAAGAGCTTATTCTGCTGAGCCATCTCCCCAGCCCCTGAATGGTTTTTTTAAAATTAAAAAAAAGGGCCGACTAAATAGCTCAGCAGATTAAAGTACCTGCAAGTAGGCACAGGAGCTGGGGATTAGATCCCCTGGGCCTGCTGTGCTGGCACCACCCCCGGACGACTTGCTCAGATGGCAATTGAGACTGGGCGTGGTGGCACACACCTGTAGTCCCATCTCTTGGGAGGCTGTAAACAGATCACTACGAGTCTGATCTAGTAGTGAGACCCTGAACACCCTGTAGACACTTCCCTAAAATACAAAAATAAATAAAATTTTTTAAAAATAGCTAAGGAGGCATATTCTGTGGATGCCATAAATTTGGAGTAATTTTAGAGAGTGTTTTAAAATGGCTCAAAAACAAATTTAAGTTGGGTATGGTGGTACACCCTTGTCATCCCAGCAATTTGGAGACTGAAGGAGGAAAATCATTGTGAGTTTAAGGCTAGCCTGGTCTATGTGGTGAGACCTTGTCTCAACAAACAGAAAAAACACTTAAGTGCTCAAAAGTTGAAACCTTGACATTGGCTTTATTAATCCCATGTTTTACTCAATGAAGTCAAACAACCATAATCTAAAATAAAAAATGTCCTCAAACTCACCTTACCCTACACTGTCTGCTTTGGGCTCCTGCATGTAAGATAATTGGTAAAATGGGTAAGCATTACCTCCTGATGTTCCTTTCTATTACTATAATCTAAGGAAGAAGTTATTATGTGGTTTATGTTAGCTACCGAAAAGATGTAGTTATCTTAAGTGCTGACAAAGCATTTATGAGCTCTACCCTTTTCTAAGGAAATACCTGCCACTATTCTAATTAAATATATATTTGATTTATTGGAGTTTGTGTAAACTGAACGCTTATGTGACTTTAAATTAGGAACGTAATGAGCTGCATTTTAGTTCAGGTTTTTTTTTTGTTGTTGTTGTTGTTTGGCAGAACCAGGGACTGAACTCAGGCCCTTGCGCTTGCCAGGGAAGCGCTTATTCCACTGAGCCATCTCCCAGAGGCTTTTTTTTTTGTGGAACCAGGGATTGAACTCAGACCCTTGCACTTGCCAGGCAAGTGCTTATCCTACTGAGCCATCTCCCCGGCTTTATATTTACTGTCTTTTTTTTTTTGGCGGAACTGGGGATTGAACTCAGGCCCTTGCGCTTGCCAGAGAAGTGCTTATTCCACTGAGCCATCTTCCCAGCCCCAAGAGCTGCATTTTAAAGTGCATCTCATCTGGAAGTTGTATAGAACATATACTGCCTGACTTTATGCTTTGTGAGTGACTTGGTTATTTTCCTCTGCTGGGACAAAATACCTGATATCCAAAGTTAAAGGAAAAAAGATTTGTTTTGGCTCACAGTTTACAAAGGTTTTTATCTATGGTCAACTGCCTCCCACGTAGAGTGGTGTCACAGGAAAAACAGTACATAATAGAGCAGGCAGGATGCAGTGAAAGAACAGCAGCAGCAGGCCTGCCTTCTTTCTGTCCCTTTATCTTCTGCCCAGGCTACAAGCCTATTGATTGTTGTAACGCATACCTAGAATGGAGCTTCCATTATCCACATCCTTAGTTTATATTCACACACAGTAGTCCAGCCACTTTGGAACTTACCACTTATGACCACCTGATGATATGGGGGGAACATCTAGATACAAGCCATAACAATGGGCATATGTATATTTTTTGTTCATAATTTACTCTTCAACAAATATATTTGAGTACCTTTTGTGTATAAGACTAGTCTTAACAGAGAAGATAAAAGTGAAGGACAAAAATAGCCTGGACTTTCATGGAACTTAAATTCTTATAACTGAGGAGGGACCCCACACCACCAAAAAAAAAAAAAAAAAAAACTAAAACAGGGTAATTTCAAGTAATAATAAATTCTGTTAATGGAAATAAGCAAAATTATGTGACCAGGTTGGATAGGAAGACTACTTAAAACAGGTCAGTCAAGAAAGTCTTCTCTAAGGAAGTAACATTTATTTAAGATCTCAAAATGGGTAAGAAACCTGATGTTTGAGGAAGTGACAGGAGTACATCACATAGGGGCAGCAAGTGTAAGATAAATCTGGGTATAATATGTTAAAAGGATGGACCAGGAAGGTCATTGTGTCTACCACAGTCGTGCTAAGCTGTGGGACAGTGGGAATGTGATGAAGTTGACAGGGCAAGACCTTACAGGCCATTCTGAAACAGTTGGATTTTATGAGAAATTGTAAGATTGATGATCTGGTTCATGTGAACCAGAGCTTTAAAATACATTGATCAGACTTTAAACTTTAATTGGAAATACACTTCATTTTTATTTTTTAAATAATCCTTTCTGACTCACACTTTTCTTTTAATTAGAACCATCTCATCGTCAAGGTTCCTCCATATCATGACCAACATATAACTTTGCCTGTATCTGTTGGAATATATGTAGTGACCAATGCTGGAAGATCCCATGATGTTCAGCCATTCACTTACACTCCAGACCCAGGTATGTCAAAATAAGACATTGTGAACTAAAATAAATAGTTTCTAGTTCTTTGGAAAACTAAAGATCAGCCAACCAAAAATAAAATGTCATTCCCTAAGATGAATTAATATTAACTTATTTTAAAAATGGTGTTACTTCCTAAGAAGAAAATACTTTTTTAAAAAAAAAAAAAATTGTATTTATTTCTTTGTGTGTGTGTGTGTGTGTGTGTGTGGCCAGCTCAGCCCACCAGGGGGCAGGCTGGCTGGCATGTGGTGCTGGGGGATTGAACCGTGGTCCCTGTGCTTTGCTAAGCTTGTTCTAAGTAGGTGCTTTAGACCACTGAGCCATCTCACCAGCCCAAGAAAATACTTTTACTTTTATGTTACTGAAATAATTTGTATCTTATACTTTATTTTTTATGTATTTAACGCAGGGTCTACAGGGTCTCATTATACAGATTAGACCCACAGTGATCCTCCTGTTCTAGCCCCCAGGTGCTGGGATTACAGGGGCCCACCACCACGCCCAGTCTCAATCTCTGTCTCAGCATGCCCCAGGGCAGGGCTGGGACAGCACGCTGGGGATCAAATCCTGGTCCCTGCACCTGCCTAAGCAGGTACTTTAGTCTGCCGAGCTATCTGGCTGGCCCTGTATCTTATACTTTAATAAGAAAAGAAAAACTATAAATCTTCCTGGGGTTAGACTCTAGAACTGACATTTATTGAGTACTTCTTGTGCACAGAAAGATGAAAGTAGAAACTAGGATATTGCTATTAGTTTAGTTTGGCTGCTTTATAGGTTGCCTTGGCGGGGTGAGGGGAGAGAGAGTTGCTACAGTTTGAACCTAAGACCTCACGCATGCTAAGCATACCACTGAGCTACAATGTGGTACATTTTGTCAGTGGGAGGGGTAAGCTTGTAGTAGTAATAAGTGATGATAACTGACTTTAAAATGTTTTATGGATCACTACCACACCCAGTCTTAATCCCAGCACTTGGGGGCCTGAGGCAAGAAGATCACTTCAAGTTTGAGGTCACCCTGGGTTACAAGTTTGAGGGCAGCCTGAACTACACAGCATGAGACCTTGTCTAAAAAAAATAAAATATCTTATGATTTGTTTCCTGAAGAAAAAAAGCATCCTGGTAGCATGTAGGGAGAACATTTTGGAAATAAAAACTTCATATTCTGTTAGCCTAGGCTTGATTTCTGCCATAGTTATTACTGGTGTAGCTCATTCTAGTCTGAACCATACTTCAGAATTAGCAGCTCTTTGATATCTAAAGTTTACTTAGTTGTTACTCTCAAATAGTTCATGATCTATTGAGAGAGAAAAGTGGCAAGGAAACAAGTCATAGTGGTTCTTGTCTATAGTCTCAGCTAGTTAGAGGAGGCTAAGGAAGGCAGATTGCTTAAGCATGGAGTTTGAACCCTGTATGGGCAACATAGCAAGATGGGGGTGGGGGGTAGTAACTGTGGTACAGTTATAACTAGTCTTTTTTAAACAATTTTATTTATTTATTTATTTATTTATTTATTCGTTTATTTTTAACGTATTTAGTACAGGGTGTCACTACACAGATCGGACTCGTAGTGATTCTTCTGTTTTCAGCCTCCTAAGCACTGGGATTACAGGCGCACACTACCAGGCCCAGTCTCAGTTGCCATCACAGGGTGCCCTGGGGGTGGGGCCAGCATGCTGGGGATCAAGCCCCTGTCCCTGCATCTGCCTAAGCCGGCACTTTAGTTGGCTGAGCTATCTGGCTGGCCCTATAACTAGTCTTGATATTGCTTTATGAAACTGTATTCCATTTTCCTTTAATCATTTCTGAAGTTTGCAACATTATTTCCACTGGTTTGCCACAGAGGTGTGCCATAGTATTTACTGTTGACAGAGATGTCTTTTTCAGGCCCCCGGCACAGCAGAGAAACAGGCAAAAGGAAAAAGGAAAAGGGGCTTTATTTATCTTTGAGGACACAGAGATAATTTGGGAAAGATGAGGAATTCTCTTGAGTTGAGCAGAAGGAGGCTGAGGCTTTTATGGCCTTTTGTCAGGGGTGGAGTTTGAAGGGGATATTTAGAGATCCCTGAGAACTGATTGGGGTTTTCCCTGAGGCGGCAGGAAGGGTGAAAGGAAATTGTGCCCTGGGCTAAGTTGGAGAAAAAGGTGGGAGGTGGTTTTGGGACGATGGGCTTTTGTTTTAAGGGCTTCAACCATATTAAATGACCACCATAATGATTTAGCAATTTATACTAGGGCCAGAACCTATCACTAACAAAATTCCCCTAGATATTTATTTGTCTCAGAATAGACAAGGAAAAATTTTGAAGTGAAAAGGCAAATTTTAGGAATAATGTTTTGGTTTCAGGAGCCAGTTATGATAGCACATGCCTGTAATTCCAGTGCCTGGGAAGCCAAGGCAGGAAGATCACTATGAGTTCCAGGCCAACCTGGGCTATGTAGTGGATTCAGGTCCAGCTGGAACTACTGTACAGTGCTAAACTCTATCTCAAAAAGCCCTTTTTTCTCCCACAACCTCCCAAAAAAAGGAGAGAAAAGAATATTCTGTTTCATTGAAAATGAGCACAAGAAAAAAGACAATACAAATTGATACATAGAGCCAAAATACTGTTTTTTTCTCTCAGAAGTCCTCAGAACCACCCCCCCAAGTCAGTTCTGATTAGCTTCTGTATCACCTATGTGAGAGGAAGATGGCCTTGAAGTTTTTGCTGTCCTGAAAAAGCTAGATTTTGTTGTCATTTATTTGTTTATATTGATTAATTATAAGAATTTCAATACTTAAATTTAGTTTAAGTATTTAGCACTTTTGAATCAGTATACTTAATAAATTATATCAAGGCCAGCGAGATAGCTCAGTAGACTAAGTGCCTGCTTAGGCAAGCACAGGGAGCAGGGTTGGATCCCTGGTACCGCATGCTGGCCCTGCCCTTGAGCACACTGAGCAACTAAGTTCGGGCATGGTGGTGCATGCCTGAATCCCAGCACGGGGGAAGCTGAAAACAGGAGGATCACTAGAAGTCCAAGCTGCATAGTGAGACATGTACCAAATATAATCAAACAATCAGTCAATAAACTATCTTAGTAAATGGTGAATATTTTCATTCCGGTCCTAATATATAATGGGAGGGGGGGAGAGAGAGAGAGATTTGTTATACTAATATCAGTTAACAGTTACAGTGTTAAAGAAATATTTTTTAAAATTGCTGTTTTTGTTTTGCTTTGATAAGTGATTGTTGTGTCCACTATAAATTAGTCAAATTTTAGAGAATAGACTATTTATTATAAAATTCATTTCCCTGAGTATGATGGCTCACTCCTGTAATCCTAGCACTCTGGAAACTGGGAGACTGAGGCAGGAGAATTGCTGCAGGTTCAAGGCCAGTCTGGCCTGCAGAGTGAGCTCAAGTCCAGCCTGTGGACTGTGTATTAAGACCTTGTCTCATAAAACAACCCCCCCCAATTTATCTCAACTTAGAGTCAGCTAAGCTAGTGATGCTCTATGAGAAAATAGACCAATTAAAAGATTTAAGGTAATATAATTAATTTGTTAAAATGAATAAATTTAAATACAGAACATGAATTTTTTTTTAACAGCAACAGCTGGTACTTTGAATGTAACTGTGAAGAAGGAAATATCTAGTCCAGCAAGACCTTGCTCTTTTGAAGAGGCCATGAAAGGTAACAAATTGATTATTCTCAAAAATTGTAATTAGGGCTTGGTGTGATGGTGTACACCTATGATCTCAGCACTTGAGAGGCAGAGGCAAGAGAATTGCTGAGAGTTTGAGACCAGTCTGGGCTAGTGAGTTCAGGGCCAGCCTGAACTACCCAGTAAGACCCTGTCTTTTTTTTTTTTTTTTAAGACAGGCTCAGACTGCCTTAAGGGCAGGTGTGGTGAGGCATGTAAGCTGGGGGTTGAACCGTGGTTTGCCCAAACAAGCAGTTCCAACAACTGAGCTAACCTGCAAGCTCCAAGACCCTGTCTTTTGTCTTTTTTTTTTTTTTTTGGTGGTACCAGGGATCAAACTCAGGACCCTGTGCTTGCCAGGGAAGTGCTTATTCTACTGAGCTATCTCTCCGCCCCCCATCTTTTAAAAAAATAAAAATTAATTAGGCAATGCTGGTTTCTTTAGCAAGCCTTAATATTTTGTTTTTTCTTATGTATTCATCACTAAGTAGGCCATCTTTTATATTGTGAAATAAATATTTAACTGAAGACAGTTTATATTCACTATTTCTTGATATCAGCATTAGAGTAAATAAAATGTCGTGTTTATTATCATGACTATAGATGCTTGTTCAGTTTGATATTTTCCTTCATTAAGTGTTTTTAAAAACACACATTAGAAAAGCCTTGCATAGTAGCACATGCCTATAATCCCAGCAATCAGCAGGCTGAAGCAGGAAGGGTTGTTGCAAGTATGAGACCAGCCTAGGCTGCAAAGTGAGCTCAAGGCCAGCCTCAACTGCATAGTGAGCCCTGTCTCAAAAAGACAAAAAAAAAACCACACGTCTGGATATAGCTCAATGGCATAGCACCCGTCTGGCAAGCTAAAGGTCCTGAGTTCATTCCTAGTACAAAACAAAAAAAAAAACAAAAACAAAAAAAACCACCTTGTTTGTTTGTTTTGGTTTGGTTTTTTTTGCGGAACCAGGGATTGAACTCAGATCCTTGCGTTTGCCAGTCAAGCGCTTATCCTACTGAGCCATCTCTCCAGCCCCCAAAAAACCACCTTGAAACACACATTAGAATAGAAGAATTTAAAAATTATCCAATATCAAAAACTGTTGAAAGTAAAACTTCTTGCTTCTAGTAATGTCAGTACTTGTCATTGAGACTGAAGAGGCCAAAATATATAGTCATTTGGGAACTTGTTCTAGATGCTTTTATTATCATTCTTCCTTTTGACATGTATATTTAATGCTGATGTCAAGAAATAGTGAATATAAATTGTGTCTTCAAAATGTTATAATGAGGGGCTGGCGGGATGGCTCAGTGGTCTAAAGCACCTACTTGGAACAAGCTTGGCAAAGCACAGGGACCGCGGTTCGATCCCCCAGCACCACATGCCAGCCCGCCCCGCCCTCTGGTGGGCTGAGCTGGCCACACACACACACACACACACACACACACAAAATAAATAATTAAAAAAAATGTTATAATGAGGTAGAACAGGTTCTTTGCTTAGCAGACTTATAATACAACTGTAGTACACAGTGGTGATACTTTTGTGCCTTTATATATAAAGGTACCGGGCTGGCCTGATACCTCAGCGGACTAGAGCGCCTGCTTAGACAGATGCAGTGGCTGGGTTCAATCCTAGGCATGCCCCCCTGGCCTCACCTGCAGAGCACGCTGAGACAGAGATTGAGACTGGGTGTGGTGGCGCACTCCTGTAATCCCAGCACTTGGGAGGCTGAAAACAGGAGAATCACTATGAGTCTGAAGTACGTAGTGAGACCCTGTACACCCTGTAGACCATGTCCTAAATACAGAAAAATAAAGTATACATGAAGGTGCAGGAATATGTATTGGCATATTTGTCTAACTTTGGCTTTTGCTTCTCTGCCCTTGAATATGAATATGGTTCTTTATAGCCAAGTGGCTATAAAGTACTACTTTATAGTAAGTAATAAAAAAAAAAAAAATGTCTTTTTATCCACTTCTTAGTTCACAGGCATTTGTATTTTTCCAAGATCTTGCTATTACAAATTGGGCTGCTATAAACATGGGTATACGGGGCCAGGGATATAGCTCAGCAGCATAAGCCACCTGCTGTACGTGTATGCATATCACTGTGGTATGATGTTTTTAAAATTCTTTTGGGAAGATACCCAGAAGGGAAATAGCTGAGTCAAATAGACCCACCAATCCTAGTTTTTTTTTAGGAATCTCCACAATAGTTGCACCAGTCTACACTTCTACCAACAATAGAGAAGGGTTCCTTTGCCCCACAACCCCTCTAGCATTTGTCATTGGTTGGTTTCTTGATGATAGCAGTTCTTTCCAAAATGGGTGCAAATTGGGAACATACTCATAAGTAAAATAAACCAGACACACATGTGTAAACATAATAATGTTTCTGTCGTGTGAGAAGCTGAAAGAGTAAGATCCAGAATGTACAATAGGTAATGTAAAATGGGAAGAAACATCAAAAGGCAAGAGAATCTGGGATGGGAGAATGGAGGAAAGAATGAAGGGAAAAAGAAAAAAGTATCAAATGATAGTAAAGATAGTTATACTATGTCTTAGTTACTCTTCTCTCGTTGCTGGGACAAATACCCGACACTCAAAATGAAGGAAGAAAAGGATTATTTAGCTCACAGTTACTGGAGGTTTCAGTCCATACTCAGCTGGGTCCAACACAGAGCAGCGCATGGCAGAAAGCAACCTTTCATGGTGGCAGCAAAGATCAAGAGCAAGGGAGAGGTAGCAGCAGCTCAAGCAGCTAACTTCTCTTCCCACCTTACATTGTAATGCAAATTACCTTCCCCAGGGCAGGTGCAGCAGGCACACCCACAGTAATCAATCACAAACTCCAGAAGCCACTTCAAGACTGTATGAGGCTTTGGGGGGGACACCTAGACACAAGCCATAACATACTATTAATTTCTTTTAGTTCATTGAGAAGGTTATGCCATTATTTCGTCCTCTGAGTGACTAATTTAAAGATAACACAACATGGCTTCAGATATGCAATAATTTCTACAATGGGTTATTCCCAAGTATGCGTTAAACAGGACAAACATGTTTTTTCTGTGTAGTTCCTTGCCTTAATAAATATGTGATAAAAATTTAAGCTTCTATTTTTTATATTCGTAAACTGTGGAGTAAATGAACACAAAATGAATATTTTGTAGAGTTTGTATTTTGCATACTCGAGGTGAGAAATAAGTTTTAAATAAATCTACAGTATTTTATCTGAAAAAAAAAAAAAAGCCCTACCTTAAGAAGGGAGCAGCTAAAGAGAGAGAGAGAGAGAGAGAGAGAGAGAGAGAGAGAGAGAGAGAAGAAAATTAGGGGGCTAGCCAAATAGCTCAGCAGATTAAAGTGCCTGCATGCAGGCACAAGGGCTGGAGGTTCAATCCCCAGGCCTGCTGTACCAACCCCGCCCCCAGGGTGTGCTGAGATGGCCATTGAGACTGGGTGTGGTGGTGTGTGTCTGTAATCCCAGCACCTAGGAGGCTGTAAATAGGAGAATCACTAAGAGTCTGACCTAGTAGTGAGACCCTGAACACCCTGTAGACTTTTCCCTAAAATACAGAAAAGAAAAAGAAAAACAAAGCTTTGTAAATGGGGAAAGGAGGAGAATGGGAGAAAAAAAACAAGTTATATCATATACAAGTATAAATCTTGTATGATAAATGTGTTTGTTATGTATATCTAAAATGTACCAATAAGGGGCCGAGGAGATGGCTCAGTAGAATAAGAGCTTCCCTGGCAAGCGCAAGGGCCTGAGTTCAATCCCCGGTTCCAAAAAAAAAAAAAAAAAAATGTACCAATAAAATCTAAGTATTTAAAAGCCTAAATAAATATTAAAGATAACAATACGCAGTGTATTGCTGGGTGTGGTGGCACATACCTGTAATTACAGCATTAGAGAATCTGAGGCAGTAGGATCATTACAAGTTCGAGACCAGTATGGGCTGTAAAGTGACCTCAAGCCCAACCTGCACTGCAGAGTTGGGATCCTGTTTTAAAAAAATGAAAAAAAAAACCAATTTACTTTCCATTCTTTTTTTTTTTTTTTTTTGAGGGGGAGGAATTTTTTTTTTAAATAAAAAAATGCTGGGCATGATGGTACACACCTGTAATTCCCCACACTTGGGAGGCTGAGGCAGGAACATTCAAGACCAGCTTGGGCTACATAATGAGCTCAAGGCCAGCCTGAATTGCAGAGTGAGACCCAGTCTCAAAAAAGGTAATAATATATAAAATAAAGAATATGAATTAAATCAAATTTTAAATACTTGAGGGCTGGGATAGAACTCAGTTGCATAGCATTTACCTGGCACAGCACGAGGTCCTGAGTTTGATTTCTGAAAACAAAAACAAAACCCAGTATAAATATTTGATTTTTTTTTTTTTTTTTTTTTGTGGTACTGGGGATAGAACTTAGCACCTTGTGCTTGCCAGGCAGGTGCTTATGTCACTGAGCTATCTCTCTGGCTCCTGAAATTTAGGGAGTGTAACATGCTTAATAAGTTTTATAAATGACAATGGTTTTTTTTATCATCAGTAGTAAAATTTAGTGTTCACATGTGTTCATTGTTGCGCACTCTGTGAGGTTGGTAACTTACCGTTACAATTTCATAGAAGAGGAAGCCAAAAAGAAAGAAGAAGAAAAAAAAGGAAGCCAAACCTTAAAAGAGATTAAATAATTTGCCAAAGGTCATCTATCTAGAATTTTTTTTTCTTTCTTTTTTTTTTTTTGGCGGAACCGGGGATTGAACTCAGGCCCTTGCACTTGCCAGGGAAGCGCTTATTGCACTGAGCCATCTTCCTGGCCCCCATCTAGAATTTTTTTAAAAATTATTGGTTAAAAAATTATTGGTTGAGCTTCATTGTGTAGATACAAATAAGAACAAAAGCATTTAAATCATGTTATTAAATAAATAATACCATATTTAGTTATCTAGTAAAGTCAGGGAGGACAAATATCAAAATATTGTATGCA